TCATCTTATTTCACTTCTTGATAGCACTCTATAGTCGAAGACTCTGTACCTCCAAGTTTTGAGTTTCTTAAATTTGTTGAATGGATGTGGTTGATTCAGATCTTTAGTGTGACTGTGAAAGAAATGTATAAGGGATATTAATGGAAAATTACTGGAAATTTGAAAATGAACTATTTGTTGACATTTTTATTTTCTCACTAGTACAGGGTTCATCCCTGTAATTATGCAATTTACTATCCTTTTCCCCTTTTCTATATTATTTTGGAAAATTACAGCCTTATAATAGAGACCAGGAATTTGTTAACACTGTGACTGATCTATTCAACAACTGTGTTCTAAGGATAGTCAAAAATATACTCTCTTACCATAATTGTTGAAAACAGAACTTTTTTGTAAGCAAAGAATTAAGCATTTAAAATGAAGGAAAGTTGAGAGTGATGTTATCTCTGGCTGAAAGGCATCAATTTGTTTCTCTGAACAGATTTTTAATGTCCTTCAAGACCATAATTAATAAAAAATTGCACAATACAATAATATGAAGTGTATACTTATAACATTAAAATGCTTGTTACATAACTTTACTAAACTGGATTTCTGCAGAAGTTAAAACTAGCTGACTTACTGAACATGATAAAATGAAGTGAGCTTCCAGTAAAACAATATTGTGACAAACTAAAGCACAACCTCAGATGATTCAGCAGTTAAAAAACCAAAACAGGGGCTGGCCCGGTGGCGCACTTGGTAGAGTGTGGCACTTGGGAGCGCGACGGCGCTCCCGCCGAGGGTTCGGATCCCATATAGAGACCAGTCCGCTCACTGGTTGAGCGTGGTGTGGACGCGACACCAAGGGTTGCGATCCTGTTGCCGGTCGCGGTACGGGCGTGACACTGAGGGTTGTGATTCCGTTACCAGTCACGAAAAAAGACAAAAAGGAAAAAAAAAAAAAACCAAAACAGAACAAAACAGCTATGTGTGTCTTCTACAATCCAACTTGTGTGGGGCAAAGACTACATGGCCAGCAAGGTACTTAGGCAGTCACAGAACTGTGGCTCACGTTTCTAAACATGATTTTTAATCCTCCCTAAAATGGAGGAGGTCATCTAACATGATTTGTGTGGTTTAAACTGCTCCTGCTATAGTTTCTCTCCTTCTTTAACAAATTAAATTATGTAGTAAATTAGTCATTAAGCTTGAAAAACATTTCAAGTAAATGGAAAAACTTTGTGATACAACCACCAAATATCAAGGAATGAGTCAAGGTATTTTCTGCATAAATTTTCCACCTGGATATACTATGTTAAGCACTAAGCTTTTAACTATTTAATGTGGAAATTACTATAACTGAATGTAACACATACCATGCTTTCTTAAACACCACATACTACTTATCTCAATTCAAATTCATCACTATCATTTGTATAATTTGATCACAGTGATATACTCAGAGACTGGTGCACAGGATCCTATATTAAATTGTCTCAAGTTGCTAGCTGAATAATATTCCCCTGTAATGTATATATCACATTTTGCTTATCCATTCATCCATCTATGGACACTTGCTTGCTTCCACATTTTAGCTATTGTAAATAATGCTGCTATGAATGTGGGTGTGTAAATACCTTGAAATCCTTTTTCCAATTCTTTTGGGAATATACCCAGAAGTGGAATTGTGGATTATATGAAAAATCTATATTTAATTTTTTGAGAAACCACCATACTGTTTTCCCCAGTGGCTGTACCATTTTATATGCCCACCAATAGTTCACAGGGTCCCAATTTCTACATCCAATTAATTTTTTTTTTCCTTTTTGTCTTTTTTTCGTGTCCGGCAACGGATCGCAACCCTCAGTGTCGCACCCGCACCTCGATCAGCCAGTGAGCGGGAACCGGTCTGTATGTGGGATCCGAACCCTCGGCAGGAGCGCCGCCGCGCTCCCAAGCGGCGCACTGTAGCAGTGCGCCACCGGGCCGGCCCAGTTGCTACGCTTTTAATGTTCACTTTATTTTTTTGGTCTGTCACATTTTGTTTACCTATCTATAGCAGGACCCTTTCAATAGGTGATTTGTTCAGGGGCAGAAATCAGATAACCAAACTAGTTAGAATTGGATGTGAAGTAAGAATAAGTAGACTCTGAGGATAAGGACCTGAGGCACTCACTTCTGAATAAAATACCAGCACTAGTAACATCTCTCGAGGCCTTCTCCAGGCTGGTGAATGCTGCCAAAACTGAATTCTAAATCGGTGAAACGCAATTAGTTAGATGTTTCTGGGAGGTATCAAATAAAATATCCACCACAATTTCTTAAGAACCCTGTTAAGCCTGGAGTTTTAAAACTCTCTCTGTGAAGGAACAGAGCACATTTCTAATGGAAGGCTATGGAATCACAGTGAGGAAGGTATAACTATATAGATCACCAGCTGGCTTAATTGGCTTCCAATAAACTCATTAACAAATTAGGTTACAAAACACAAAAGCAATTTAATGAATCATCACATGAGGCATTAAACTTAAAGCTGAATTGTAAAGTGCTTTTCATAATGCAACTTGTTTAATTACTCATACGAATGAATCATTAATACTACAAGCCTGCTAACACTTTTGCATACCTGAATTTATATAATGGTGGTGCTCATTTGCTGAGTAAGGCATGAGTAGTTCCCTAGGTATACAGCAGCAGCAGCCCTCAGAACATTCATAATGTAACATAGCAACAACAGGGCTGTCTTGAAGGCTCTAGTAACCCAAGACATATTTCAAGAGCTAAGTTACCTCTATTGTATCAATTCAGATGCATTTGGTTATTAGATGTAAATTTTTTAAGGTAGACATGATACGATTCTGTGAATTTACAAGTGATGGCAACTGACAATAGTGCTTATGCAAAGGAGTTATTAAAATAACAGCCTGCTACCAGCTTCAGGCTTGTGAAAATTTGTATAGATAGAAAAATACTTGGGCATAGCTCTTTATCTCCAATGAAAATGTGGGAGAAAAAGCCCTTTATTCTAAAAGCATAACCATCTTAATTAGGGGATATTAAAATTACCTTTTATGAGAGAATTCATTTTCTATATTTTAAAGTGTTGCTATTTGACAAAATTAAAAGTTGATCGTTTTGTTTTAGTTTCCATGTTTTTAGTAAATTTACCTTCTAAGACATCTAAGTATGGGAACCACTAGAGCATGTATAAAAACATGTTGCTGTGAGTTGCAGTCAATTCTTTTACAAAAAGAAAACCATTTCTTAACCACAGACCAGGATATCCAAACTTTTGGTGAGAAGGATTTTTCCAAAGTCTTGTGACCAACTGTGGACAAATAATTGATTAATCTGACAATGAAGCCCCTTAAGGATGTTGAAGAAAAGGTTTCAGAAAAATACCCAAAGCCAAAGAAGTGAGAGCAAGGTTGTATTTCTCCCCCACTGACAGGTGGGGAGAGGGAAGAGCAACAACTGTGAACATACACCTTGTAAAAGGTCTTGAAAACCACAGACTACAGTTCTAACATTAACTTTACAATTCCTGCTGTTGGTCACGAGAAAGTTAAGATCACACAATAGAACCTATTGACATTACAAGTAAGAATTAAAAATCGAAGTGTCATATTTAGTGTAGTGTCTGATACATATAAGTGCTCAATAACTATGAGCTTTATTATTGGAAGAAGGATTAAATATGTCTGCCTCCTGGAGCTTTTTCATATAAAAAGAAAGCATAGTGAACTGAATGGACTGTACCTTTAATAGACAGACTTAAGGACAGCTATTAATACGAGTACTATAATATGAAACTAAGAAGACTCTTAATAGTAGGGTAAAAACTTACAAACATTTTAAAGATTCTCCAGTAGGTTTATTTTGCAAACTTTTTTGTATTTTGTCTTAATGGTTTATATTGTTAAAAGAGAAAAATGTTCACATAAACACAAATGTGAACACTGGACTATTTATCATTTTAATGTGATTCACATATACTTCATGTTTATTTCTTTTTTTTTTTTTTTTTTGTCTTTTGTCTTTTTCCGTGTCTGGCAACGGATCGCAACCCTCCGTGTTGCCCCCGTACCGGACCGAGGACCGGCAACGGGATTGCAACCCTCGGCGTTGCTCCCGCGCCTCGCTCAGCCAGTGAGCGGGAACCGGTCTGCATGTGGGATCCGAACCCTCGGGCGGGAGCGCCGCCGCACTTCCCAAGCGGTGCACTCATCCAGTGCGCCACCGGGCCGGCCCAATTTCTAATTGCAGCAGCCTAAGAGTTTAGCTGTCAGTGTTCTTGCCACCCCATCCCAGCTATCATTAGTCAAATAGCTTAATATACACACACACAAACATGTGCACACACAACACACATGTGAACAGACACAAACAAGCCTTTTGTAAAGTAAACAAATCTTTTATAATGTAAATAACTGTTCCTAGTTGGAACTTTTTCTATCCAGTTTACATCTTTTCTGAAATTGAGATATTGATTTTAATTAGACAACAATCTCTATAAAGCAGAGTTTATCTCTGTGAAAACTCAAGTAATTCTCAGTGGTAATATTTGTCTTAATTCATCTAAACACAATGGAGTGTGGAAGGTCAAATGGGGAAAAAAATACTTCAAATGATCAAAACAAAAGAGACATGAAAAATAATATATTTAACAGTGTAGGGAAAAATTTTAAAGTGCAGAATGTGATGAAAATATTGAAATAGCTTTGGACCCACTGCTAAAATTTAGATTTTTCTCAATTAATTAAAATCAGAATTGCTGATTTTATTGTTGGAAGATACATTAATTCTTTGAAGTCAGAATGAGAAGGCTGACTAATTTCTACACAAGTGACTCTGAATATACAAAGTATCAAATATAAACAGTTGTGTAATAAGAAAATAAATTGGCAGAACTAATTATTCAGGGCCGAGCCCGCGGCGCACTCAGGAGAGTGCGGCGCTGGGAGCGCAGTAGCGCTCCCGCCACAGGTTCAGATCCTATATAGGGATGACCGGTGCCGCTCACAGCGCTCACTGGCTGAGCACGGTGCGGCCGGTCTCAAAAAGGACAAAAAAAAAAAAGAAATAATTATTCAACTAGTAGCAATAATTAAGACCACCATTTCAAAGATTTTCTATACACAAAGAATGAGAAAATACTGTTATAAGATTTTACAACACACGATTGAATTCAATCCTAATTCATTACTATTATACTTCTTTCTTCTTCAGTATTAGCGGACCCACATTATCTCCTGTCAATTCATTGTGTTTATTATGTGAGCCATCACAAGCAGGAAACTAAAAGGAAAAAAGAATTACAAATGTTATTTAAAAAATATAATTAAGTAGAAATATTTGTGAAATGCTCTCATGAAGAAATCACATCACTACTTTAAAAAAAAAAAAAAAAAATCAGATAGCTTTCCTGAGTAATATTGACATTTAATCCAACCACATTCCTCCTATACCACAGCAAATCTAACAATTTACGTAGTTAATTCATTACCTGGTTTAGATTTTAAATAAAAACCCTTGGATGACTACATATGAGTGACTAAAATAAGTTTAACAAGTAATCAAAATAAGTTCCTGGTCTCTTTAGAGCTCTAACTTTGAACTCATTTATTTAAATTTTAAAAGAATGGAATTTAAAAATAAATTTAATATTTTCTTACTATAATACTCATGTATATTGTAAAATTTTCCAAAAAATTTCAAAATAGGGCCGGCCCGGTGGCGCACTGCTATAGTGCGCCGCTTGGGAAGCGCGGCGGCACTCCCGCCGAGGGTTTGGATCCCACATACAGACCGGTTCCCGCTCACTGGCTGAGCGAGGCGCGGGGGCGACACCGAGGGTTGCG